ATAAAATTAAGAGCAAGTAAATTTTGGATCTTCAAACCTGTTGGTACTAGGCTAGGTGGCTCTAATCTGCATTATAAACCTATCAAGCTACATCAGTCTGGAATATTTAACTACATGCTCTTCCGCTGCGCAAGATGGTTTCAGCGCTTACCCGTTGATATTGTGTCAGCGCATAGCGGTGAAGGCTTCAGGAAAAAATTTAAAAAAGCTGATTTGACCCAACTTTTGAGCAGTGATACTTCTTTTTGATTGCGTTGCGTTCCTAATGTTGTGTTCAGGTTTTTTAGGGTTTAGGTCTTTAGGGTTTATGGTTCTTATGGTTCTCCTACGCTTGGTTCTGAGGCTTGATTTTCGTTGCACTTCGTTTTTTTCTTTTCTTTTTTTGCTTCTACTTTATTTTTCATCTCTCAAATTCCTTTTACTAGATCCTTGCTTTCGTTCCATGTGCACTATCCTTTTCGTTTGACGGGTCTATGGCACGCGACTCCGCCTGTCTCAGTTTGGTATTTACTCTGGGCTGACTATGGTCGAAGGGATGCGAATAAATGAATGTCTTGCGTTGGATTTTAGGTTATGTTGGATCAGGTTCCACCAAACATTGGACTTGGTTCACACCATTGCCGTTCGTTGTGTTGGCTTTTTTTTCAACTTTATACCTCACGCGCTAGTTTGGGTCTGGCTCATCTCATCACTTCCATTGATGCTTGGGTTAGCTTGTTTGGGCTTGAAACTTCTGCATTGTGCAACCTCTTCCGGAGTTCTGTTCTCTCCCCAGAGTTTGGTTGGGCGGGTTTCACCAATATTACTACCAATACACCTGCTTCCAACATATACATTTGCTTATCTTATATATAAAGCTGAATGTCTGTCTGTCTGTATGTCTGTCTGTCTGTCTGTCTGTCTGTACGTATGTGCGGAATAGAAATTTTTATTTCTGAACCGATTTGGACCAAACTTGGCACACATATACTTCGGGGCAGGGAGCGTGTCATAGGCTACTTTTCGTTATCGATCGATATCGATTTTATCGATTTTTTGCAAAATTCGAGCTAGAGGGCTGGGATTTGGCAGAGGGGGGTAATCGAGCATGCTGATCACCCCGAAGGGGGTGATCAGCATGCTCGATTACCCCCCTGTCAAAATCCTAGCCCCCTAGCTCAAATTTTGCAAAAAATCGGTAAAATCGACATCGATCGATAACGAAAAGTGGACTGTGACACGCTCCCTGCCCCGAAGTGTATGTGTGCAAAGTTCGGTCCCAATCGGTTCAGAAATAAAAATTTCTATTCCGCACATACGTACACGGGTCTAGCTGGCAGGCCCGGCGGAGCCGGGCAAGCCAGCTAGTGTTTGAATAAGAGCATTTTTGCTAAGAGCAGAGGGCATAAGACAGATTCAATCGAACCTCCATACCTGTGATGACTTCATAGTCTAGACAAGCTCACTCCCTTTCTATCCTTAGAAAAGATTTTGCGGGCTGGACTTGAGCTGATTCAGTGAGGTGTTTGCCTGTTTTTCTTCTTTTTTTGTTGTTGTTGCTAGTTGTTTAGTGTGATGCTTCGTTCTGTGTATTGGGCACGCCTTGTGCGTATCAAATAAATAGATAAATAAATTGAGAAAATCAATAGAAATAGTCGATAATTCTGGAAGATCATGCTTTATTCGTAATCAGCATGCTCGCTTCTCCCCCCCCCCCCCCCATGCCAACCCCCATAGCTCAAAGTTTGCAAAAATTTGATAAAATCGATATCAATCGATAACGAAAATTAGTCTATAGAGGCCTGCATGATCCCGAGATCCCGAGTGTCGGAGTGCGTACGGCCATTGCGCCGCACACGTCCGATGTCACTGAGGCAGATGCCAGACTTATCCTGTTTAACACGTTTCGGACCGACGCTGCACATGATGCAGCACGCGCCTTTCAAGGATCTTTTCAATGTTTGCAGAAAATCCTTTTTGTCCAAGGTTATCAAATCAAAGGCTTAAGCTCCACTTTTTCAAATGACTCTGTAGAGCTGTGCCGACGGTATTTGTTTAGAAGATATGAGCACAAATCGAAAAACAGCTGCAACGAAGAGCGGCAACGCGAACGACGCGTGCGACTTCGCAACTTTTCTTTGCTCCTGTTTCGAAGAGAAAAATCGTAGTTTCAGTAACGATGTGTACTGTGTACAACATAGATATTTTTGGATACCATAAGAGACTGACAATGAGTTCTTGTTCCTATCTTTCAGAAAAGCACAGAAATCCTTCTCAGGCAAAAAAAAATTCAAAACTCAATTCAACACTTCGAATTTACTCAGAACTTTGGTATGGATCTTATTTGACATGCTGATTACAGATGTAGCACACAGCCTACGAATCAAGGACCCTTCGTTGGCTAACTGCTGAAAGTGCCCTCTTTTTCGCCGCGCGCGATTTCGCGGTCCGAAACGTATTAACTAGTTCGTACGGTTGACTCTTCGCTACTGATCAAATTGATGCACTGACCAGTAGCAGAGGGGGTGGACGAATGAACCAGCTCAACAGGGTACGTCTGGCACCTACAGTCTGCCCCAATCGGGATCAGGCCGAACCGCTGAGTGAATTTGCGCGCTCGTAACGCTAGGGGTCTGCGCTGCATACGCGCGCTGTCGCAGAGAGCAAAGAAATTGGGGAGAGAGCAGACTGGCTAGCCGTAGACGTGACGCACTATCCTCGCGACACGGGCTCCCGCCATGCCAATTTTGGCATGGTTGGGATTGGGGCAGACTGTACCTGCGCCGTAGGAAGGACATCGGACGTGCGCAGCGCAACGGCCGTACGCACGTCCGACTCTCGCAATCCTGCAGGCCTCTATACAACATCCCCGTACCGAAGTGTATGTGTGTAAAGTTTGTTTGGATCAGTTCAACAATGGAATTTTCTATATGCAACATACGCACAAACAGATAGACAAACAGACATTCAACTTTATACAGGATGTCCCAAAAGTATGTATACACTGTTTGATCGTTAATATCTCTCTTCCCAGGGAGTGTAGAGCTGGCTTCAACTTAGACTTGTAGTATAAAGCGAACCACCGATCGCACCCAATAACGGAGTAGCCACTGCTTTCATTGCAGCAAGGTTTGATTCTCAGAGACGCCAACCTCTTTAAAATTTTCTCTCAACCTTGTAGCGAGCGATGGCTCTTTCATTCTATTGCAATTTTTGTCTGAGCTTAATCAAATATGCTTGGGTTGCAAGTTCCATGCGTGAATCAGATACTCGAATGTGGTTTCTTCAGATCTCAACAAATTCTTGTTATGAACGATTATATTGAAAGCCTTTACAAGGGTAGAAATTCTCAAACCCAGGCCGACGACCTTTCTTGGTCACTTTATCTCGCTTGACATTCTCAGTATCCCGTTCCCTCCATAGATGAAAATTGGAAGAACTTACAAAAACAACAGTTACGAAACTTCTTCATTCTACAAGTAGAACTCGTGTATTTCCTAAATTCCTAAATCATATTATTAGATCAATGAAGCGCACTCCTACATATCTGCCATGAGTTAATCAATGATCAGGAACGGAATGGAACTATAAGATGCGTTTCGAAACGCTGATATTGAGTCTGTCTTCATCATTCAAAGATCTCTCAAAAAAGTTGTAAATTCTTTTTTAAATAGAGTTGAATTAATCAGATCATCCATAATGCTCAAGTAGACTGTTTCTTGCTATTGAAATAAGTCAGATATGAGGCTGACAAACTGTATTAAAACGTCTAATTTCAAAAGATTAATGTCGCGCTGAAAATTGTGATCTTGCGCAATAACGTAATCTACTCTTGCAAAACGATTTATTTCCATTCAAGGGCTCTGAGAAATCAGCACTAAGAAACATATCTGTTTCATACAGCATTCATTGTAGGTCATCAGCAGGGTAAAGCGGGGGGTGTGGCACACGACCATCGGATACGACCCCCCCCCCCTTTGGGCCAGATCCCGGCACGACCCCCCCCCCCCTTCACCCCTGCCCGAACTCTTTCAAGTAAAGGTTTACTTCAACTTTATTCCAAAAGCGCTCCGCAGTCGGTCTCTCGCTATCACACGAAAGCGCAGGTGCGAAGAAACGCGCGAAGCAACGCGTTCTGGTGCAGTGAGCTACGATATCATGACTCAAAGTCACGAAAGCAGACGCAACTCTTCATCATCAAACACAAAGGCACTCAAATTAGCATTTTAAGCGACTTGTAGAACAAAAAAAGCGACCAAAAGTAAGCCTCATTTTTCTCTATCGGTATTTCAAAGTGATCTACATGATTCTCTTCGTTATCGCCGATGTGCTGTTCACCATTTACCATTGCCATGTCGAAGTCTGTAACTATATGTTCACAATTTGCCATACAGTAGAACTGGTTACATTTGGAATGGATAAAAATAAGAGAATAAGTCAAGAACGTGAGAGAGCGTTAAACTTTTTGATGGCTTGCGGAATTGCACCGTCCTATAGAAAGCTATCTGCTCCAGGATATCAAGCGAAGGGAACGGCTATAGGTTGCCGGCAACTGTTCCGAGACTGCAGATGTTGGCGGGGTTGCCGAGGTTGCCGGGGTCAGAGACAGCCTAGAGCGTGAGAAATGTGAGGTTATCATGAGGTTCTACGACGACCGGCAACGCCGGCAACCTCAGCAACGCCGGCAACCTCGGCAACCACGGCAACCTTGGACACAATTGCCGGCAAACTATGGTCGTTCCCAAACAGACCTTCCCACAGACCCTTCCAAATAAAAGTTAGAAGAAAAAGTAATTACAAAAGGAACTCGAAAACTAAGCAAAACATGGTAAAAATGTTTTAGAAAAAAGAAGAAAATCTAAACACCCAAGGTGGCAAAGCCATTAGCTTCAAATCTGTGAAATCAAAACAGAAACTCACTTGCTTGAAAAAGCAGCAACACGACTTGCCACAAGTATTCCAGGCGCTCATGATAATCCGGCGGCTGTCTGGATTCGTATGAACTTCGTGGATGACGTCCGCTAATTCAACACCTGGCCCTCATAGTCCGCGTCTGGGCCTTTGTACTCGGCGCCAAAATGTCGCCACTTAGTGGAAATCGTTCAACGCTGCCGTATTGAAGCGAAAGTTGTAAAAAAGATACCTGGAAACCGTAAAGTGGACCAAGATCGCCTTGTGCTCTGCCTGTGAATCCACCCGCGATCCTTTTGCATCCCATATCTAGATTGAAAGATTACCACTATAGTGAGCAGAATGTCTCTTTTGGTATTAAGGCACTGTCAGACCTCGTTTGAAAGCGCCCAAAAGCGCTCAATTTTTCTGATCTCTCTTCACATATTTCCACCTTTCCTCGCTCCGCGCTAACCTGGCGCTTTTAGTCTAGCGCAAAAGTGTGAAGAGAAAAGATGTAAGGAGTAATCAAGGATTTGGGTGCTTTTGGGCGCTTTGGATGAAGGTCTAACAGGTGCCATGGGCAGAGTTAACGCAATTTCATCGAATCGCAGTTTTCCCTACAAGCCAACAGTCACGAGGCGACAGTCGATCAACATGCAATGGACTCGTACTGTTGTTTCGTCGGGGAAACGCGAAGAGATGAAGTCTCCTGAACTCTGCCCAAGGCTCAAAGCACTCTTCATGAAAGCGATAAGAAACGAGATGAGACAGAATAAGCTCAAAAATGTGGTAATATGGTACATTTGCAGACGATGCACTTTCTGATTGGAAAATACCAACAGCGCATAAGGTTAACGTTAAAATTGATAACAATCGTTGAAAGTTGATATTAATAAGAGAAAAAGGATTGATCATATGCAAGCATTGAAAAAAAACCTTCGCAAACCTTCGTTCTTCTCAGAAAGACGATTGCTGTTTGTATTTCCTTTTATGCACCAAACAACTCTTCAAAAAATCCTTTCCAATACACTTGTATTGTGGTTAGTAATGGAACAACACCTGTAAAACTGCATAACAAATAGGGCTGAAGTTTTCTGAAAGAACAATGAGAGAAACAAGTGATGAAAAAGAACAAAAGAGCGAGAACATCACAGCTCATAACGAGAGTGGGATTCAAAGGCGCGTATCCCGCGCCTCTGTGTGTTTTAACAATCTTTCGAGCGCTACCGTAACCCAATATTTTTTGGCCACACTTTCCAGCATATGGTTCGCAAAACCATATGTATTTCCTTCTAAAGAAAAGGTTCGAGGGGAAACAGCTACTACGGGGAGAGGAAGGATGAATCTATAGGATGATATGAAAAAGGCAGCTGTTTGAACGATTTGAAGGTAAGTTAATGGCCTGCGGCACCCCCCCCCCCTCAAAACCTGCGGCAGCCGCAGGTTTTGAGGGGGGGGGGGGGTGCCGCAGGCCATTAACTATATCAGAAAAACATTTTTAGCGGACAATATTTATATGAATCAATAGCTTAAACCTCGTAGATTCCATAGGGATGTTTTGAGCCTGATTCGTCCTCTTAACTCTGAGTAATATTTGGTGAAAGCACAGCGATCAAAAGCTAAAAGCGATTTTGGTTGGCTTCTAATATAGTTTGGAGGTCTTCTGAAGCGGAATTCCTGAGGTGGGCAAAGAAGGAGTAGTGCTTTGTATTGAGTGCAAGAAGAGGTAGCTTACTCACCGTTAAGATGAAGTTAATCTTTTGAATTACTGCTTTATACAAGGTTGTTTACTGCTCGGAGACCTCAGAGTTCGCTGAAACTTGGCGCATAGGGGTTATTCGACACGCGGATTACGACAATTATGCTTGATTAGAGGTAGGTACCCAAACAAGGTACGGTAGGTTACGGTAGGCATACGGTATCTGCAAGTTTGTGTCGTTGAACTTGAATTTTGCAGGATTTCAACAGCGTCTCACATCTAAGAACTTAGCTGCAGTCATTTCCCCTTAGAAACCGCTTTTGACCTTGGGTCGATACGACCCCCCCCCCTACCCACCCCCCCCCCCCCCTTACGACCCCAACCTGCGGCGTGCCGCACCCCCCGCTTTACCCTGGTCATTAGTCATGAGTCTCTTGTAAGACATTCTCCCTCCTCAGCATCTATCACAAGTAATTACAGAAGTTGACTATAATATCCTGCTTTGGAAGCAAATAACACTCCGATCAACACACCACTAGATCCCAAACAATCTGTGCATTATTTTTGTGACATAAATAATGTGCACATGAAGTAGCGGGCCGTGGTTCATTGATTTTGATTTCAAACAATTGATAACAATTAGCAGTAATGATTTGTTACTTATTCATATATGAACTTCAAATAAATATAATAATGGCAGACGTTTATAAAAACAATCAGGCCCATATGCATGTGCATCCCCATTGGGAAGGGGAATTTGCGAAGGGACGCGTCGTCTCTCGCTGCTTTACACACCTTTATCCTTCTTTGTCTGTTTGTCTTGTGAAGGTCTTCCATACCCTATACCTGAGCGGTCAGCCCTTGTTTAAAGACTTCTATCTTTCCAGAGACTATGAAAACGTCGTGAAGTTGTACTGAGATTGTTTGGCACTGCTACGCATGTTTCCAACAGGACAAATGGAATGTGAAGGTTGTGAGTTTCTTGATAATCCCCACCTCACAAACGATGGATTATTTAAGATGTCGATGGCCTGAAATCTCAGTTATACACGATTCATAATACGCAAAGACTGGGCGCCGCTGCCTCCGGCCAAGATAGTTTGTGCATGGAAGAGACAGCAGATGGTAAGAGAAAGGAAAGAACGCTTGATCATAGAGACGCCGATAGATCCGCATTCTTTACGTGCTATAAATCGCCTATATTTCTACCATCAACATGATTAGCACGTGATAGTTCCTCACTACAATTTCTATCGATTTTATGGAAAGGCATACAACGATAGAAAAGTGTAATCTCCCGGGGAATTCCGAGGGGATCGCACAAAGCAATTACAGTGACCGCCAAAAAGTTGCATACAAGCCGCTTTCCTATTTTCATCGCTCATTTTCGGGTGGAAAACAAGGATGAAAAAATGAATGAGTTGCATGAGGTGATAGAGCTCTCCAGGAGCTACAACTCACACATTGTGCTTTCTGGAAAATCTCTGTTAAAAAATTTTAAGTCTTTTTCTAAAAAAAATCCGAAAATGGATGCGTCACAAGCTGCCCAGCAGTTACTCAACGAGCCTGCAAGTACGCTCTAAAAAAAGCGTGACTTCCTCGACACGACGGTATGCAAATGAGTTGACTTTGGGGAGCCCGGAGATTCTACGGGTGGGGTGATAAAGCGCAGTTTCACTGGTAGGCTAAGGATTTATCTGGTAAAGTTGAGCAAAGCTCCTTTCGCCACCAGTTCTATTTTGGAAGTTTAAATCTGTTAATTTTCTTGTAATAGATCCATTTCGGAACTCTAAGACTGTCCTGCTGTAGATAAGAGCTTTCACTCCAATCACCTTCGAGGCTGCTCTTTTTCACCCCAACCGTCAATTTTCGGGGTCTTCTCAAATTCAACTCATTTGCATACCTTCGCGAAATTATGCTCTTTCGAATGAGCCTACTTGCAGGCTTGTAGAATGACTGCTTGCCGAGCTACAAGCCTGCAAAACGGTGCAAGTCAGTGGTGAGGTGCAGACGGGGTTGTGTGTACGCATTGTCAAGAGCCATTTTCAGCAAAGAAACTCACCAGCACACGTCCGATGCAAAGCGGATAGCAAAGAGCATTCTTTCTATCTAAATAGCTTCGTTAGGATATTTAAATAGGCTTCCATGTGAAGAAATTTGGCTTGAAAAGGTGAATAATAGTTGTTTTTTGAAAAAAAAAAGCAAAATAGAATTCAAGTTTGGACATTTTTGAAAGTAACCACTATTAGACTATTGTCCTCGATGAGCCCTATAGTATAGTCTGCTTATCTGTCAGGAAAACTTCGGTTTTCGCTACAAACAAAGACCTAAGGGAAAATTTTTGCGTTTGAAGAATTGTTGTCCGCGACATTGCGACGCGGCCATTTTCGGACTTTTTTAAGAAAAAGACTTCAAAATCTTTAGAACACACATTTTCCAGAAAACGCAATGTACGGCTTGTAGCTCTTGAAGAGCTCTACCACCTCATGTAATTCATTCACTTTTCCACCTTTTTTTCAACCGAAAATGAGCGATGAAAAAAGGGAAGCGGCTTGTCCGCAACTTTTTGGCGGTCACTGTATGTGGCAGTCCCGGTATCAATGCGTTAGGGTATGAGAACCCTTATAAGGTAGATAGACAACGAAGAATAAACATATCTACAACGAAATATGACACGTCCCTTCTCAACTCCCCTCCCCAATTGGGATGTACGTGCATACTGACTATTTGATCTCTTCTTGCATCTCGCTTATATGGGCGTTTCTCATTAGTACATTTCACTTCTCTTGTTAAAAAGAACTTTGGGCAAATTCTTACTTTCGTAAAGCTATAATCCACTTTCATTGCTTTCTCTCAATTTAATTGGGTGATTCGTTTAACGTAAAAAAGTTGTCCTAACTTACGCAATTTAATGGACACAAAAAAAACACGAACTCTTTATATAGCTCATAAAATGCAGCAGAATCAAAATGTTTCTTCGCGTTCTAGTCTTAATATGTCTGCTAGCATCAGCTGCCGTCACTCAAAATTTCTGGCCAGTGTTCCCGAATGCACTGCAGCCTGACGTATTCGGCAATGTTCTGCTTTTTGGAGAACCCAACAATGGTTTTTATCTTATATGCACCGGTCGCGGCTGTTCAGCAAGAGGATGACCTGATGATATCAAGCAAAGACAATCTTTATTATTATGTATATTTGCTAATGTACTATCTGCCATGTAAGTATTGTTGATTGTTGCTGTCAAGCTGTTCTGCTTTTGATGAGATCATGTTTGAATTGAGTGGTATCCATTTTTAATACGGTCAAATGTCCGACTCTGAGCATATTTTATAATTCATTTTCACTCAGAAAAGCGACTTCTAACTTTATTTATGAAACGCGACACTAGAGCAAGTTGTACCGATCGCGTGCTGTTACACCCAAGCAGTAAATTAGCAGTGCGTCTAGTGCAAATCTTATGATAAATTGAATGACGGTGAGTATACAGCACGGTCAAAATGAGTTGGAATCATATTGTAAATGAAAAATTTAGAGTCGCATACGTTTGATGAAGAGTCATGCATGAGATGACTATTAGTTTGATGGAGTACACAGACAATGCCCGGTAAAATGTGCTACAAACTACTTTTTGCTCATTAGGCATTCATGCACTTTACTGGTTTGACTATTTTTAGTTGTATGTTGCCTAATCGTTACTGTTCTGACTATGCGGCAAGTTCACTTTACCGCTGTGATGCTTTTCCCACGCTTTTTGGAGGAATTGCGTTAGGACAAAACAATTAGAACTGTCATTATAACGCGTTAGTTCCCAATGTTGCTTGCGAGAGAAGTCGTCGGTGATACCGAATGTAAGACACCTTGGTTCCTTAAAACTATGGAATCTTTTTTAAAGGCCGACATCAAGGCAGCGAAGCTTAATTGTAAATCGTCTCGTGGAGAAACATTATGTGCTGATGTACATTACAAACTTCTCACTCATCCTCAGCCACATGACAAACAAGCTCTTGCACACTTAGGTGCAAATATTATCTTGTTGGAAGCTGAGAATTCATTTTTACGTCCTTTCGCACTATTGATAAAACCAACTAACCCATTTCTTGTAGAGGCGATATATCACTAAATTTGGTGGGAAGACAAAGGTTATTAAGCCAAAATCTATGAGTAAAAAGCGTTTTCAACTTTTTTGAAGTTCGCACTACGGCCTGGTGAAGATATGGCCGCTTGCAAGGCATATGACATCTTTGATGTTTGGCGAGGAAAAAGAATGAAGCATGAAGTTAAATGAAAATTTATGTGAACGAAGAATGTGGCAAACTCTTTCTAAAGCCAGGATGGCAGTTATCGTGAAGCTACTCTACAATACTGTCTTTACAT